GAAAAAATTGATATCGCCAGCAGTAGGTAAAATTATATATCATAAGTTTATAAAGTGCAACTTTTGTACATAAATATATATGTACATAAATAAAAATGATTTGATATTCCATTAATATTTCAATATATTGATTTGAAAATCTTTTTAGAAAAATAAATTTAAAAAGTTTTCCAGAAGATTAGAAAAAATTTAAAATAACTGAGAATGCAATTTTCTACAACATTTAAAAAGATCACAAACAATTTATGGAATTGGACACAGTGTCTGTCAGGAAAACTAATTTAAAATATATTTTTTTCAAAGTTCGCGACTTTCGTATTTTAGTATCCTATTTGTGTAAATTGGGAGTTAATCGGGGTAGACCTTATTAAAAAAAGCACGTCAGGTAAACAAAAGCTGTTCTATTTTATGACTTTTAGCAAATGTCATAAAATACTTTGGTCAAATGTTTTGGATTTAATAAAATGGTTAAATTTATTAATTAGTTATCTTAATGATATTTAATCAATAAATTCTGTGCTAAATGGCTCCGTAGTTCTTAAACTAATTCTATTATTTTCTCTCCATTCTTCAATATATTACACTATTACTGAGTAAATGATATGAGGATTAATAATAGCAATTGTTTATTTTTCACTTCACACAGAATAGTTAGAATCTAGAGTAGTAATAGATCTAATACGTCATTTTTAATAGTTTATTTTTAACATTTATATTTTACTTATTAATGTGTACAATAAACCCATTTTGATCTCTGTTTCGGAGACAGATAACTGAACTCTTTAAAAAAATAACAGCAAATCAACCATGATTGCTGGTGGGTTTTTAGTGCTCCTTGTTAGTATTGTTTGAAGTCGGTTCAACTTTTTTTAAGAAGGGTTTTATTGTTGTTATGTATTAATGTTTAATGCTTATGTTTTATTGTTTTTATGTATTAATGTTTAATAAAAGCTTTTTAGTTCTCAAGGAGACCTAGGCTCCTTGAGAACTAAAAAGCTTTCAATACGTTTCTGTACCTACATTCTATACTGTTATATTATATATCAGTACATTCTTTAATTAGTACTGTTATGTGCTCAACGTTTTATTTGCTATACAATTTTGATAACACTTAATCAGAAGCGTAAGTTCCTAGACAATCAGGATTCAGCAATGGGTTAGCGAACGAATCTCAGTTCTCCACTTGAGACACGTATCGTATGGCGTGAAAAAAGGATATAAGTAGGTTGCATGTAAACCTTTATGGACAATAACTGGTTAAGTCACACGGTTACGAATTGAAAATAATTTCGCTGAAGATAACTTTAATTCTAAACTAGGTCTAATGAAATAATGTTAAGCCAAGAAAGCATGAAATAGCATGTAATTAAATAAATTCAAACGTAAAAAGCGGCAATAGCGTCACATAAATCTGTGTTGTTGTGGGGGCAAAAACAAATGGATCACCTAATGCAGTGGCGTACTGCGGACAGGACAGGCCGGCGAGGCCTGATAACATCAATGCGGTCAACGGCATGTGCTCGGTGACCACCAGCCCACTGACCGGACGAACACCGGCCACAGTACTCTGTGCCAAACCAGGATCCAACCCTACACTAGTGATGTGCATAATAAAAAAATCCAAGAAATAAAATAATAATAATATAAACATTGGCAGCATTGTACATGTAATTTAAAAAACTAATCAATGGATGTGTAAGTTTGTTTGGGAGGAAAAAATCAGAAACAAAAGTACTGTTCCCGAGTTATACATGAACCAAATGATTTATTTTTGTACTGACGCGAGCATGACCACGGGCAAAAAGCTTTTAACAATAACACCGAAGCCTTGTTGAAAACAATATATTTGTAAAAAAACATCTAACTTATAAAAAACCATAATGAATTATGACTTTTCGAGTTTATCGCATTCAGACAGAGCGACTTTTATAATATACTAGCTGTGCCCTTTTTTTTTTTTTTTTTTCCGTGCGGAAATCCCCTCGGATACCACCTGTCGGTGGCATGTCGGACTCGAACCGACTAAAACCGCACGCCGTCGCCGGGTACTAATAGCCGGGGAACCAGGTATACCCTAGAAAGGAAGTCCCTGGTGCAACTAGCTGTGCCCTGTCACGCATTTTGGTTGCATTGATTAGAAATGGGGAACTAAAATGGGGGACACGAAAAAAATGATAAATACAATCTTTTTAGCGGTTTGTATATGCAGAACTTTTCGAGTTTTTGAAGCGTACACAAACCAACTTGTCATTTTTATAAATTTAGATTATAATATATTTTTGCTAACAGGAACTCAAATCTCATGTCCTATCCTTACACCTAATACTGCTTTGTAATTTATATCTCTCGTCATCCGTTCTACTCTCAGATTGTTTAGTCAGACAAAGTTTTCATAGTTTTTGGCAACTTCTTGGAAATACAACAAAGATACAACATACAAGACAAAAATTCCAAATACATACAAAACCACTTGAAAATCAACAAGACATGGAGTAGGTAATCAATAAAACAAACGTGCCACTTTCGGTAATTTTATTGTATCTTAAAGACAGAATAATTTAAATACAATTAGTCTTGTCTGTTAGCAAGGTAAAAATATACAATTGTTTACTTTGAAAAAGTATTGTGTTTCTAAGTTCGCACTGTTATCTCAACTGGCTTTCCATTCTAGAAATAGTATATTATTGTTGCTCACTACACATAATCAATGTAGACTTTACAGCTTATCTGGCGGCGGAGCTCTAACAAACACATCCCACGCTTGCGGCACGTTCACTTTAATAACAAAGTACGGTACAGCGGGCAATGAGATTATTCTGGAAATATCGAGTTTGATACTGTCGAGCTGTCTGTTAAGCATATTACTTCTTTAGCCATGGGCGCCAGCTGGATTACCTGCTCAACGTACAAGTTGACTTTCTAAGTGCTTAGATACTTCATACTTATAGTACTTATGGTTAAAATGTTCTCTGATAGATAATAAATTTTACCATTCCTACCAGGTATAGGTAGCTAAAATATGCGTTCATAGGAATTTCTTTAGTTTTTATGGCCAAGTTCACCTATTTTTTGTTTTGGTTTTACTGTCTTTTCGACATAGCTTGTTACGCCAACAAGCTATGTCGAAAAGACAGTAATACAGACATAAGTCTCTCAGAATTGTTTTCATTTTCTCAATAATAATAAAATCAAAATTTAACATGATGAATGAGTGAGTTATGACTTACGATAAATACAAGTTAGACCTTTATTTTAATTGGAAAAAATATTTAACTGTCAGTTATCAATGTTTTTTTCTTATTTGTTTCTAAAGAACAGTAAAACACAAATGATTAAATTCTTTGTCTAACTTTCTAGTTTGTGGGTAGATAAGTTGAATAAGTACGCTACCAATATAACGGAATGTCTATTTTTATCCGACTTCAAAGCAGGTGGAGGTCGTCAATTGTATTTTTGTACAGTTGTACTTTTTTATGTCTGTTACCTCAGTCCTTCATTATTTATGAAGCAATCTCGAAAATTCTAATTTATTTGAAAGGTTATATTTCCCGTTTGATCCCATTCAAATTTTGAAGAAAGAATACACAGCTGTTTTCATAACACATTTCACAATTCATCAGAATGTATGCGTAATGAAGTCAGTAATACTTTCTTTAAAGTAAATTTATAAATTTAAAATTATTATAGTTTTTCCTACATTTAATAAACTAAATATGAGTTTTTAATGTGATGAGAACACGCGTACCTCCCGGAATAGAACATTATATACCCAGATTATTTTAGGTACATGAGATATTCGTGTCATAAAAAGTGCTAATGGATGTCGCATCCTGCACAGCAATGACTTAATAGCTAGTCAGGAACGCAGCGAAAACTTGTCTCGAGGTAACACTAACGTCATTTATAGTGTAAATCGAATTTTCATGTCGATCGCTACACAACACTAGCCTGCGCATACAAGCTACGTAATTTGCCATGCGACCCTGTCATAAACAGGCCTATAATTAAAATGCACATGCAATAAACCACTTTCTTTAGGTTACTGTGGCATTTGAATACTAAGCGTATTTTGCTTAAAATAAATCATGTCAAAAAATATGTTAGCTTTGCCGTAATTATTAGATATTAGTAGCTACTACTAAACTATTTCCCGCAATTTCGCTTTTAAGTCCAGAGTACTTTAACACGAGGTTGTATACCTTTAATATTAATATGGCTATTACAGGATTATTTCAAAAAACTAAAGGTACTTTAATTTAAAAAGGTCACACTGAAAATTTTGTGGTGGTGGTGAATAAATAAGAGCCGATTATAGACGACTTTTATTGTTTTATTCCTTATTAAAGTACATATATGGCCTCACAATTATACGTTTTTTTAATTTACTGGAACCATTTAAAAATTAAATCAGTCTTCTTTAGGTTCTTCTTCCATTATTAAATTTCTTTGTGTATAATTAGTACAAAAAAATCTTATCTTACTTATAAGTTTAAATTTTTTAATCCTTAACCTTAGTTAAGGATTAAAAACTGAAAGAATATTAAAATATATAATTAAATTAGAAAGTTTCAGAAATTCAAATCATTGATTTAACAATTTTATATTCATTACTCATATTATTGAAGGTAATTATAGTCTGTAAAGGTTCATCAACAGCCTTTAATAGTCCACTACTGGACATAGGCCTCTTCCTTAGAAAGAAGGTTTTGGTTTCAACTTTTCCTTTTCTTTATAGTGCCCATGCCCATAGGGTGAAAAGGGGTGGTGACACTCCGTTTTCTTAATTCGTGACCACACGTATACTCCTCGCCAGCGTGAATCAATTACAATTTCCTTATAAGAAAGCACCTAAGCGGAAATGACTTCCTTGGAAAAGGTTCACATCTGGTTTAGCAAAATAGGAGAAAAAATACATTTAAGCCTTGAAATGCTCTTTGCAGCTAGATGGCAGCACGCACGCTTGCAATACACAACAGTGCGGCGGTGGCGTAGGTCGTAACATGGCGGAGGCCTTGTGGCGCCTGCGGGGTGGACGAACACGTCTCCTCACAGCCATCGGTGATGACGCTGATGGACAATACCTTGATAATATTGCACCTGGTATGCTTTTAGATGGTGAGTGAAACCTAAGCTAATTTGTAGGATGAGCTGTTAGCCATAACTTTGTCCGAGTTCCAAAATCTGTTATAAATAGTGCAACCGATGGGTGGTTATTACACCGAGTAACGAGACAAGTCTTTTGTAAGATGGGTCAATCCCGTCGGGATAGCGGAAGAATGCAATGGCGGTTTTCGCTCCCCGATCATAAGCAAACTGCGGAACATCGTAGGTAGTTTGTGCCCGTAAGAGTCTGACGGACCCCTTCGACCCCACGTGACCCATTCACATTTTAATCCCGTCAACAAAAGATACAGCAGCACAGAATAGGTCAATGTTATATTGTTGGTGATTTTTCTTTCCTCTCTGATTCTTCGTGTCACCGTCTTCAACATAATATAATATAATTGATATATTTTCAACCAATTTATTAAAAACTATATAATACTCGTATATGAATCGGTTCACGAGTGGTAAAGATATGGCAACACACAAAAAAGTATAGTGTTACAGAAAGGCCAGGCCAGTCACAGGTTAATATGGCCGGGAGCTCAAATATATCCTATCAAGGAACTCCCTGACCCTCATACCACATGACACATTGATTGGAGTCACACCGAACCGGAGTAACAAATTGCAAGATAACCCTCCAACAGTTTATGTCTTATTCTAATACCGCTTGATTTTTGTGTATTATATTTTAGTTGTATAGTCTTACGACTATTAAAATAAAATAATGTGTTAATGGTTTAATTTCAGGTTGTATCATTAAGAACGGTTGTACACCCTCATACGCAGTCATGTTAGACTCACGTGGAGAGTGCCTTATTGGTCTAGGAGACATGGAACTACACAAGCATATCACTCCAGAACTCGTACGTACAAAATTTTTACTTTTTGTTACTATAACATCACGACATGGACATTAGAAAATTTTAGAAACGACTAGAATATCAATTTTTATTTTGAGTCGTCGGTCTTTGAGCGCAATGTAAATAATGAATCGGAGACAGGTTTTTGAGTTTCCTCCCTAAAGTATTCTTGAGGTATATTAGTTTCTTAGCCCTTTATAATAAGCATATAGGTATAGATATATATAGAGAATATATATAGAAGCATTTAGGTATAGGTAGATATAGTGCATTTCAATCCAAAATTCTTACCTACCCAAAAATATAGAATCTTAAGCTGGACAAGGTAAAACAGTACTCAAATGATAATTTTATTGGTTTTTATTACTTCATATTTAAATAATAGGATTCAGAAAGTTGATATTAATAGTGAGCGGTCTCCAGGCTCTGTGGTAGAAATGGCCCTTTTCTGTTTTTAGTATATATTAACGACTTACCTCACCTTGTCAAGGACAATCTCGAGATAGTGTTGATTGCAGATACATCACTACTATTTAGACTAACACGGACACTTACTAATTTCACAGACGTAAAAAGGGCGCCATTTCGAAAATTTCGAAATGTTCATTGGTTTGACGTCAACAATTTGCTTTCAAATGAACAAAAAACTAAGTGTATACGCTTCACTATGCCAAACGTAAAGCCAGTGAAAACTACTGTGATGATATTTTTAGGTATAACTAGACTCTAACTAGATTCTAAGCTACGGTGGACCCACATATTTATAGATTATCGAGTAGACTCGGCTCAGCAGCATACGCAGTAAGAAAAAGTCTAGAGTTGAGAAATGTTGATACAGCACGACTTGTTTACTTTAGTTATTTAGTTATTTTATAGTGGGGGAATGCTGTCGACATTCAAACTATTCAAACACTTTATAATTTAGGTAATTGTTTTTCATTGAGGCAGAAATTTAAAGCAATAATCATAATGACTGTGGCATGTCAATATATTATTATATTTTCAGTTGAGATAGAAGTGTAATTATCATAACTTGATAATTGTTGTAATATTGTAAAGGCGTATTAAATAAAACAGAACTTTGTGTTTTCAGAGAAACAATTTATGGCTTATTTTGAAGATCCTTAATAATATACATTATAAAACGACATTTAAAGTTCACTAATATCGCTTCCTCAATCGTATCCTTCGGTTTATCTCTCTACAAGTTTTTATAACAATAAAATGCACAAAATAATCTAAGCGTCATCCGCCATTGAATCATAGTTCACATGTCACTTCGATGCGCGAAATTCAAATTAATGAAATGTCATTCATTTCATTACATATATATGAAAATGTTATATATTATTATGTTCATAAAAACAAGGATAGCTTTTTGAAAAAAGTGATGTAAATTCTATAAATACCAGAAATAGAAATAAACTTGTAGTACCTCCTATGGTCAATGTGTCCGATTTTATAATGAAATCCCAAATAATATTTAAGACTACTAATATTTAAGTATTAACAAATTTAAATCCGCAATAAAACGTAAATTATGTCAGAAAGCCTAGTCAATTGTGGATTACATAGAAGGCAACATGCTTGGGATTAAGTTAGCGAAGGCTATTTCTTGAGTGGAAATGTGATGTGGGCTAGAGTGTTTTTATTATTATCTTTTTCTATTTTTATGTTCCACTTCACTTTTTCTTTTATTTGATCTTTTTAATCTTAATCTTATGTTTCTCTTTATTGTCCTTTTTCAGCTTTTAGTCCTTAATAACGAACATACTGCCACACATTAAAATAATGTTGTTTTATATTTAATGATGCCATTGTATCTATCTGTAAATTGCAAAAGAGTGGCCATGAGTTTGTTTGCCCTTTCTTCTCATAACGCTCAACCCCTTGGAAACGGGCGGTTGTAGATCGGTACAGGCATATTAAAGATTTGTATTAGTATAATTTTTATTTAATTTATTTTGCTAACTATTGTGCGTGTGTTGATCTACGACTTTAGAGTCAACATAAAAGACGATTTCAAACAACTTTGAAATTTTTATTAATTAAAGATATTTTGAGTTTGAGCTCATACATTAATCTTAAGCATTACAATTTATTTTATTTTTACATTATCAGAACTAGTTTTAAATATATTTTTTATAATCTTAAGGTAAACAAGCACATAAAAGTTTTTGAAGACGCTTCGCTAATAGTTCTCGACGGCAACGCTCCTCAAGCCACTATCGACCATGTATTGGCATTGTGCAAACGACTTAATAAACCAGGTAAGGGTTTACTTGGAAATATTTCTGAAAATATATTATTATTTCATCAAATCATATCATGTGACGTGCCTTTTGGTCTAGTGGTTAAACAGTGATACTGACTGATAAGCCAGAGACCGTGGGTTTGATTCCACTCAGGATAAATAACTGTGGGATGATCACGTCTGGGTGTAATTTATCTATAATATACAGTATGTCCTGAAAGTTACCACAAAAACTAAACGGTGAACTGTACACGGCAGCGTCGCAATGTCGGCGACATCAAAGCAACGCCGCCGCCGTGACAATTCGGCGAACTTTATATTCTTATTACCTACCTACTAATCACTTTACTTGCTTTTTAAAACCTAATCATTAAAAATACGATTTCATTTACGTGTTTATTTTGGAAATGCTCGACTAGCTTCGGACCCGGCAGTACGTGCCACTCCTTGAAAAAGTAGGTAGGTACTTTGGTTGTCTCGTAATCTTTGTACCGACCTTACAAAAATTCGGCAGTCCGTAGGACATACACGATTAATCCCATACCGCGGTTTGCCGGTAAAGCTAAAGATGCGTTTTGATAGAGTTCCCCGTAAATTAACATCATGTTAGGATATCCCGCGGCTGTGAAGGTCGCTCACGGCATTATGGATGTTGATACCGATAACCCAATAAAATAAAAAAGACTGTTAATTCACTTAGTTTCACACAACACTACACACAGAACCTAATATTGACACTTTTCAAAATAAAATTAGCGGGACTCTTGCGCACACATTTTTTTTTTTTTTTTTTTTTTTTAATTTATTTATTTTATCTCCACAAATTACACAAATCTTAATATATAAGTTGACAATTATTTAGCTTAATTGGTAATTTGTGGGAGATCTGGAGTCCAAACTAAGCCTAGGCCTGTATTTTAGAGCTCCAGGCCCCCCAAAATGAATTCACAGTTATATTATCAATGCTGTTTTTGAGCGTGGATATTTATGTATGCATGCGTGTGTATGCGCGTATGTGTGTGTGTGTGTGTGTGTGTGTGTGTGTGTGTGTGTGTGTGCGCGTGTGTGTAAGTGTAGGTGTGTGTGTTAGATATATATGTGTATATACAATTATTAAGTTTAAGACTGACTACGCCACTATCTCTAGCAACTTTTCTGTTTCTAAATAGTTTAGATTGAGAAGCAGCTTTTCTATTCTGATTTTGCATTCTATCTTTGTACAGTTTACTATGGGTATTAATTTATTTATTTTATTAAACAACTTAGATCCACGAAACATATAAAATCTTTGTGCGAAGGTAGTACGAGTTCGTATCGGCTCACATATTGCATAATTTCTGCGGGATTGGGCTGTACGGTTTGTTCTATCTGGAGACAAATTCGAATGTTTGTGAAGGACGGTTAGCAGGATATATAGTTGTCGTACAGTCAACATATGAGTTTCTTTATAAAGTTTAGTAGTAGGGAATAAACGAGGTTTAAATGTACTCACCTTTAATATCATCCTCTGAGCTCTTTCTATGATTAACATATTGGATTTACAAGCACCTCCCCAAGCAGTAATACAAAAGCTCAAAATAGATTTCACCATGGCGTTGTAAACCATCCTTATGGTTTGTTTCTCTGCGACATATCGGAGCTCTTTAAAGATGTAAACTAGTTTGCGTATCCTTTGTGATAAAGTACGAATGTGGGTTGCAAAGGTTAAGTTAGCGTCTATTTCGATTCCAAGGTATTTTAGGCATTGAGTGCGTTCAATGATGGGACAGTTGCAAGTAGCTATTGGTGGGAAGTTACATTTATGTGCAACAATATTGTAGTTGTGGGTTGTTATATCGATTGTGTTTTGTATTGAGAAGTTAATGTATTTAGTTTTACTTTCATTAAGGGTAAGTGAGTTTGATAATAGCCAGTGACACACAGTGTTAAATCCAATTTGAGCAATTTCAAAAAGTTCATTCCAAGAATCAGCGAAAAACGTAAGAGCAGTATCATCTGCATATGTTGATATACGGCAATTTTTAATTTTTAGATTACTGAGCTCGTTGATGTAGCAGAGAAAGAGAGTTGGACCCATAGTGCTGCCCTGCGGCACTCCAAAATCATTTGGCAATACATCACTGACATACTGTCCCACCTTTACACATTGGGTTCTATTATTTAAGTAGTCAGATATCAATGATGCCGGTGTGCCTCTGATACCAAAATCCTCGAGCCTCTGTACCAGGTTGGGGACAGAGACAGTGTCAAAGGCCTTTGCAAGGTCAAGAAATATGGTTAAACATTTACCCTTGTTGTCTAATTTACCAACAATACAGTTGACGAGGTCAAAAACTGCGTTTTCAGCCGAACGGCCTATTCTAAAACCATATTGATGCGATGATAGTAGATTGTTATGCTCTAAGTATTGAGTTAGTCTATTATTAATAATACGTTCAAACAATTTTGACAACGCTGTTAATATTGCAATAGGCCTATAGTTACTGACACTGCCTCTGTCACCCGCCTTATGTATTGGATGTACCACAGCTCTTTTGAATGCATCAGGAAACACTCCCTCCTCAAAAGAACGGTTCAACAGATGGGTGAGAACCGGTGTTATAGATTCTGATGTTACTTTTAAAATCTCCGCACTGATCTGATCCCACCCAGGAGCGCAATCACTTCTTAATAGCTTAATGTTTTTTTCAACTTCTTCGTTGTTCGTAGGTAACAGAACAAACGATCTTAGCGGAGGTTTTGAGGATTTTATGAAGGGAGGGAGGTGTAAAGGTATTTGGTCTGACAATTGTTTACCTATCTTTGAGAAATATTCATTTATTTTGTTGACTGAGGATTTGGGAACCTCGTCAATTATTAGTTGAAGTGGTGCCTGTTTTGTTTTATTGTTATTTGTTATTGTTTTGATGGTAGACCAGAGCCTTTTTGTATTATTTTTTGATGTTATTAACTGATCACTGAAATATTGTTTTTTAAGTTTTTTAATTAGATTGTTGCAGTAATTTCTGTATCTCAAATATGTTATTTTCAATATGATGTTATCCTTGTCTGTTTTTATTTTTTTGTGCATTCTATCTCTCGTACGAATACAGCGGAGGATGCCAGGAGTAATCCAAGGTTTGATTATATATTTACTTCTAGGGATCAAACGTTTTATTGAGTTTTTTTCAATTAGGTGTTGTAAAGTATTAATAAAGTTGTTGGTAGCAGTGTTCAAATTTGTTTCCTGATAAATTTTGAGGAAATTGTATGTAAGACATTCTGATTTTAATTTTTCTCGGTCCGTTATAAGCTTTTGTTTCATTTTTATGGGTTTTGTATTGGATACATTAGTTTTAATGCAAAATAGTATGGCTTCATGATCGGTAATACTAGTACCCAATGAAAAGGTAAATGCATTAAGTTTCGTTTTCAATATGACGTGGTCTAGGCAGGATTTACCTCTAGTAGCGGTGCTAATGGCAGGAAGAAGACCGTGGAATGATATTGTATCCAAATACGTTAATGTTTCATGACCAGTTCCTATTAGGTCTATATTTATATCGCCAACTATGATGATATTCTTAAATGTTGAGACACTCTGTAGTAAGCCGTGTAAAGAGTCAAAAAAAATTTCGAGTGATTTAAAAGTAGGAGGTCTGTAAATGGCGATTAATACAGTGTGATTTTTTATTTTGATTGTTAAGCAATTTGCTTCCGATAGGGGGGGCTCTTCCACGGTGCATTCAAGGTCACAGTTTGTGTATACAACTACGCCATCGCTTTGGTTATAATTGTCTGTAGTTTTATATGCTTTATAACCAGCAAGTTGTGGCAAGTTTACTACTTTAGATAACCAACATTCAGAGAGAACCACAATATCACAGGTCAGAGTCAGTCTTTTGAGCAAAATACATATCTCTTGAAAGTTACAGTTAAGGCTACGAATGTTCTGCTGTAGAATTTTTAAATACTGTTTCGGATGCGAAAGAAATGATGTACATTCCTCCGGCTCACAGGAAACTGGTAATGCAATGTTAAAATGGTCAATGTTATTTATTAAGTTATTTATAGAATCGAATGTGATGGGTAATTATTTTTGTGAAAATGTAATGGGACCAAAGTTATGTTTTTATAGGAATATGTAAAGTGGGCTGTATTGCCAAAGACTACAGGCCCTAGTTTTGTGTGAATGTGTGAGTGCCATTTTGTTGTCGGGTACTTTATGTATATATAACATATTTGGGTTATTGCGTAGGATAGTAGCTCTGGTGCGTTGTACATGATATTTTTGTAGCTATATATATATCTTTTATAGATGAATGTACTTGTGTTGCTTATTTGAGTTGTTGTAATGTATATAATATATAGTGGGGGTAAGTAAAAAATAGCATAGTGAATAAAGACTACCCGTGTTTCCTTGTAAATATTGTTAGTGTGATGATATTTATGTAAAAGCGATAGTTGTAATGTATAAAGGTATGTATATTGTTGGATATGTAGGTGTATTTTATATTTTTGTATTAAACCGCACATAGTCAATTTGATAAGTAATATGTAGTAATGTGTGCCGTGTATTTTGTGTGAAACTATATTAGATATTATTCTGACATGGAAATCTGCATACAGTATGGCTGAGTACAAATTTGTTTGAACAAAAATAAACTCAAGAAAGAAAAACACAGCCATCAAAACCAAATACATCTTGCTTATTGACAGTCCCAGTCATAGATTTGTAACTTTTTGAATATCTTCTTCTATCGAAATTGATTTAGGTGGCTCACCTTCAGTTTTGCGAATATAAACTTTGCCGTATGAAGTCCAACAGCTAGCATGTTTATGATTCTTGACATACTCCCGAGCCAAGAAGTACAGTCGCCTTGCGCGAGTGGTAAGTACTTCCGATATGAAGATTGGTTGCGGGACGCCTCCCAGTTTTAAATGCATAGTATTAAGTTTTTCTTTATTTTGTTTGTTAAAAATTTTCGTTGCTTTAATAATTTCTTCTTTCATCAAGCTTGAGGAAAATTCAACTAAAATGGGACTGATGTTGCCAGAGATTTTTTTTGGTCTATAAATGTTGCGAATGTCCGTATTTTGTATGTCTATCTTGAGGACGTCCCCTATAGATCTGATAGTGTTTGTTAACGTAGTTCTAGTTTCTGGTTGGTTCGCTGGTATATTTCTCAGCTCCAACGACGATGACTTAGAATTCCGATCAAGAAATTCTAGTTTTTGTTCAAGAAATTTAATTTGATTTTTAAATGCAACATTTTCGGCTTTACTTTGCTGCAATTGTTTCAACACTTCGTCATACTTGTCCGACATGTGTTGTATGGATTGCATCATTTCTTTATTTTGGTGCAACATCTTATTCATTTCCTCTTCAAATTTTATAGCCTGCAATTTTTGTTCAAGCTGCACAGCAGCTAGCATATCTTTAATCTCACATAGGGTCGTATCACTGTGTTTACGTTTCTGACGACGACTAATGTTTGATTGATTGCCTTGATCGGGATCCGAACCCAGGCAGTCCGAAGCGGTGTCCGATTCTTGGGTTGCAATTCTTGGTTTTTGTAGTGAATGTAACGGCTTTGCGGGCGGCGACCTTCGGCAAGACATATTCTCACTTACGTAAATTAGCTTCAACGACTTAATTAAATATGTACTGTTGTCTTCTTTACTCCCGCGCGTACAACTGCGGTTTTGGTAGTATGACTCTTTCCCACTAAACTTATATTTGTGCGATAACGTTCTATGGGTCTGCTTCACTGGTCGCCGATCGACGTCTTGAAGCAAATCAACTGTCCGTCAACTGTAAGTTGACCTCCGTATTGTATTAAGGGAAGTAACTCACTTGGTGATTTGACGTACGCTGCGTGTGGTTGTTACTTGTAGGTGTTTTATGCGCTCCTGGTAGCTTGGAATGATTTTTTGCACAATATATTTTTGTTTTATTTAATTAATTTACTTAATAACGGGGTTTACGTCTAAACGCTTTCGCGGTCCAGAGGGAAGGGGACATTAATTGTCCACACCATTGCCGGGATTATGACGAAAGCAATAAGACTAAACAATTATTAACACAACAAACCTCTTCTAAACAAATATCTCACGAACAACAACAATATTGTTATTACGCTAATTTTTCATGAGCGCATCTACAAGGACACAGGAACAGCATAACACTCGCCGATGGCCAAGGGCCGACTGACTGGACTTTCTGGATGAACTAATTAAAAACGCGTTTCCTTCATCCTGATGACGCAATAATCAACAAATTTCTTTCGATTCGAGTGTAGTAAAAGTGGCAACATGTGATTACCGCGCCGCGTATACAGCTGATCGCTGCCTGAGGTCAAATTATTATGACTGCATTTACACATGATGTTGCAAATTACGAAAACAAAAAAAAAACGTGTTTCTAAACCACTGAATATTTTTTGTTCATATTTTGCAAATCGTCTGAAGTGCATAATACGTAATTTACAGATTCGTTAAAAGATACATCACAGTCTGTATGTATGTCAACAAATATATTATAAGCATGTTTATCAACATTCTTGTTACCATAGTACAGGCTCTACCTAGTTTGGGATCAGATGGCCGTAAGTCAGATGTGTGCGGTTATTATTATTATTTCATCAAAACTGTAACGATTAACAGGCGGGTACCAATGCGTGTGAACGTTTACAACCAATGCATATACATACATATAATTAAGTTACCGCGTAATATTCTTGAGGAAAATAAGGTAGGTGATGCTTTATAGCCATATTGCTCTACAATCGTAGATAGTTTTAAATGTTTGTTTAGGTTATATAACAATATTTTAAAAGCATAACCAATACTCAATTGCACTGCAGGGATGGCGCAGCGGTTTAAGCGGTCACCTCGCCGCTGAGCCTTGTGGTTTCGATCCCCACATGGGGCGACACGTTGTGTGATCTATATATTGTTGTTCTGAGGCTGGGTGTTCTTTGTGTCCGTTTCGTAAATGTGTGTAAAGTTCGCTACAGGGCATATTCCTAATGCGGGAGTAGTCTTACAAAGAAATGAATAATACATGGGTATCAATCCGATCACGCAGATTAAAACAAAAGTTACTTCATTAAAATATAAATTTATTTAATAAATATCAATACAATAGTACTCATCCTTGGAATGTTGCATATAACGAGATTATGGCTTGGACGGATTTGTTGTACATTTGATAATATATTTTTAATATGTAAAGAAAAGATCTCGAACAAGGCACATGGTTAAGTTTCACATTTTTTTCTTAAAAAACAATATTCATAAAACTATGCTTAAAGTACTCGTAGATACCAATTTTCTTAAAAATAAAATCGAGCTCTTACTATACAAAAATGTCAATTTCTTAAAACATGTTTAAATGCCATTAAAGATACAGTCATAAATTTACTACGTCCAACTAAAATAAAACACCTTAAAATATATGAGAAAAGATCTTACTTACTAAGAACACACAACTACAAGCAAAAAATAAAATAAGTAAGAAATATTTTATTTACTATCATTAAATCCATTACGTAAGCATTAACGTCAAATTTTAATGTATTTAATCTTTTACATTGTGATAAAAATAAAATTGAACTTATTCTTAATGTGAATATGTTCTTGTTTATACGTACTAAATGGAGGGATTTATTATTTAATTTTACTAACCATTACATACCTCTGATAAATAACAATTTACTCCTTGTTATACTTTAATCTACGATCAAATATTATTTGCTGCACTGATTTAAACTTATTATATATTTCATGAATGGGACATATAATCCCTACTAATATTATATATGCAAAAGTAACTCTGTCTGTCTGTTACACTGCTAAATCGCTGAACCGATTTTAATGAAAATACTTTGATTGTTTAGGAAGGACATAGGCTAGTCTATTCAAGAATGTTAATAAATGGGCTAGTTAGTTAATGGGCTTAATCTCTGAAAATTTCATACCTTATACCCTATCTGACTATAAGATCAATCACGAAGTAAGAAAATATGCCAGTCAATATTAAATGCCATGTTGCCAATGTATGTGTAAAGCACTAAAAGTATGCAATTAAACGCTCCTATTTCAATCTCAATAAGTAAACGTATTTAAAAATATACGAGTAAGTAGGTGCTTCAAACCGCCACTACATAAAATGTCTTTTCACTAAACTACAACAAACATATTCGAAAAAAGGTTTCATGCAAAAGTATAGTATTCAATTGTTAAAACTGCCATCGAAACATTTAAAACTAAAAAGGTTCGACTTCTGAAGTCAATGTGTTATCAAATGTAATTTACATATTAGATTACATGTAACCCATTTGGCGTTGTTGCTGCAACTGATCGCGCAAATGATGCAGAGCGTGTTCCGGTTGACTGTGTTGCATCTGAGCCACCAAATTTTTAGCTTCCAAACGCAATTCATACAGTTTACGTGATTCTAAATATAAAAGAATCGCAGCAATACCTGTTGGAAAAACAAAATATTTTAAATAATCTACACAATTTATGAATGATGAACATGTCGCCGCCCATGAACGCCTGTAACTCAGGAGCCACAAGCGCGTTACCGGCCTTTGAGGAAGGAGTACGCTCTTTTCTAGAAGGTTTGAAGGTCGTATAGGTCCGGAAATACCGCAGACGATAACTTGTTGCACAGATTGGTTCTGCGAGGCGAAAAGCGCACAGTGGTTGAGTGCCAATATATATAAACACTTTTACAAATAGTTGTCAGACATTCCAGATACATTTTATTTTAGTAAAACTATATCGGGAAATAAGTTTTAATTTTTTTTTCAGCTGAAAGTATTTAACGTAGGGTAATTTCTTAAAATTCTCTAGTACTTACCAAATAAAATAAATGCCACCACAGCAAACGCATAAGACCACGACAATACATTAAAGGACGGATAGAGAAGCCAATCGCGACGGTAGCAGTTACCGCCGAATATAGCAACTGCCAGAAATAAAAATACACCTGAAAACAAACATAATTGACCATGAATTTGGAATTTTGACCATGAAAAAACCATGATTTTTAAAATTATATATCAAGTATTATTATATAGCAACTATATTTTGTTTTGTAAAAGACAACTCCTGCATTAAGAACATATCCTGTATTGCAGCGGACTTTACAAACATACTTGAAACGGACACAAAGCTTGGAACAACAATTTGTGGATCACACAGTGTTGTAGTTGTAGCGCAATAGGAAGCGGCGAAGTGACCGCCGTGATTATTGCGAAAGTAATTCTGTCTCTCTGTTACGCTTCCATGGCTAAATTTCTTAACCGATTTTAATGAAATTTGGGATGGTGATACTTTGATTGTTGAGGAAGGACATAAGCTGCTTTTTACCGCGATAACCGGTAGATATACGGCCGGAGCTATGGGCAAGAGCTCATAAATAATAAAAAACAAACTTACTTGATGTGGCCACCATGATGAAAGCAAATGTAACAAAAATCCACTCATAACGCAGCACACTGCGTAAAGGCCATCGCACAATAACACAGGCAAGCAGTACTTGAGATGTGAAAGACAGTATCAGTGCTAAAGTGACAAAGGACTGAACAGCCATCAACCAACCAGGTAGGAGCCATTCTCTGATTACATGGAATTCCTAAAAAACAATATTATTTTTCAATATTATATAAGTATACTACAATTCATAGATTGATCAGCGTCTGATATGTGTGGTGACTGCTTTAGAATACAGAATGTCACCATTCGAATTCATCCTGTGGGTGTAAGAGCTGACTACACAAGCAAACTATGCATGACAACAGTACTGCAAAAAGAAGGCAAACTTAAAACAAATCCTATACCAACCTGTCTGGCCAGCATGGTATAAAACTTCCTTTCTATGGAGAGGCCTATTTCCAGCATTGGACTACTAAAGGTTGTTGATGATTCATGATCTGCATCTTGTCAAAAAAGTAGCAATAAATATTCAAAATCTTAGTTTGATAAAGCATGCACTGCAACATTTCTGTTTTAGTTTAACCCAATGAATGTAGGTACATATATGTGTGATAAGTTTGAGGGTTTGTCATTTTAGAACTCTTAATAGTATGATCTATTCATATAAAAGAAGATACAAATAATGAGAACAGGCTAGTTGACTCAATTTGAAAAGTTTCTTATTAGTGGACACAAGCCTATTGCCTGCCATTAAAAAGAACCACCATTAAATTTTTCTTATAATATTTAAGCTTATATATTTCTTAGGGTTACCAGTAACTCCTTATACCAACACACTTTCCTTTTAAATTACAAAGCTATCAATAGTATAGCTGCCTTGATGTCTTGTTTGAATTACCTATCTACATTAAAATCAATGACAATATTTAGACTTTTTGCTTATTGTATAAACAACCCTCGAATAGATACTTTTGGATATACATTTGATAGCCAATGGTATCTAATGTTGAAAGTAAATTGTAAAATATCATTAATAAAATCCAATATGCACGCAATTACTAAAGTAATTAGAAAAAGCATTACAAAAATATTAACTATATAAATATATAATAATTTTATCAAAGACCCTTACAGATGTTTAAATAAAACTATAACAAAGAGGGAGTGTTTGTTTATTTGTTTGTTTTAGCTCTGATATTTTACTCTGTGCAAATATAAAGATTTATGACGTATTAGATACCACGACTTTCTTGTGGCTGTGCCATTGATATAATACTTACATAGATGAGTAATTACCGCCTAAAATCGTTGCTACTGCACATATGTCCACAGGCATATGCGTAGCAAACGTCAATTCATTATTCAATGTGGCGTCAACCGAGTTGAACATAGCGACACATGACAGTAACAATCGCCAAAATGGGTAAATGCGTAGTGAAAGAATGCGATTCAAGGTCACAAAACATTAATAAATCATGCAGAATTACTTATCACGTGTAAGTTTATGGTTTTTGTATTGATAATATCGTAAATAAGGCTATAATTGAAATAAAACACTAATAATTGTAATTTAGAATCAGTGTTACCATTAAAAAATCATTTTGGTTTTCCCACATTAGTGGGAGAATTTATAATTTATGAAATAATATGCTTTATACTGTTTTTAAACATTTTGCCAATAATAATAAAATATAGGAAGAACGGTAGTTGTTAGGGCTGGACCAATCTCTTTTTTTAGGGACCCGTTGAACGTTAACTGCGAGCTTGGCAGAAGTGCCAAGCTCGCAGTGCTGGAGACTTTTGTACAAAAAAATTAATTCATTGTTTTTCTTAATTTATTATCAATTTTAAATAATAATTGTACAAAATAATAATAATAATAATAAATGTTTATCATAAAAATAAAAATATAAAATAAAAAAGTAAATAAATATAAATAATTTTTTTTATAAAATGTATATATATTTTTTTTTAATTTGTTTTTTAAATTATAATAGAATTTGCAATACACCCTGGGGATTATTTATTATCAGTACAAGTTGATCATTCACTTTTATTATTAAATGCTATTATTTTTACATACGTAAAAATAAGATTGTAAAATGAAAGTAAAATATCCACACAAACTTATAAAAAAGAGTCTAAAAGACAATTGTATACAAAACTGATGCTTCACAGCGCAGTTTGATTTTAAACTGAATATAAACCCTTTTAACCATATATTTCCAGTTATTTTATTATTTATACCTATTCTATTCAATTCGAAATATATTATTTAGAATATTTAAATTAATTTATTTTATTACAAAATTGTTTAAAAAAAAAATTGTTTCTTAGTTGTTATGGGTAAAATTTTATACGGTAGTCAACACTGGCCCACCATCGTAAAGTTATATCTTTGTCTTTGTCTAATCCGAGCGATGGTATTGTTCTTGTCTCGCGTGTAAATGAGACATAAATATGTTTACTTTCAAATGTTTAGTGGTATCAAAGCTACGTCGTCAAAGTTCAAAAGTGGTTACACTTTTTTCGACGTGTGATAATGAGGTTTGCTTCTCTAGTGTTGTTTTAACTCAATGGGCTGTGCATATTAGTACAATTTAGGGTAGTGCCCTAAGTGAATATTGAGATGGGATAGAAAATGTGTTACCCATCTTGAATTAAAATGATTAAAGCATTGCTTACCTCACTGAAAATATAGTGACATCCATTAAATAATTTGTCAAATTGGTATGAGGGAAAACGAAAACGGTCGAAACAGTATTCCCATAAACCCATGTGTTTAAAACTTGAAAACATTTCGGGATACGATTCTATCCAGTAGGGGCCGGCAAACGACAGCAGCAGAAATAAACCGGCCACGTAAGTGATACTTGCCCCAATGAGAGTAGCATCTTTAATAAAAAATAATCATACACAATTACATTGGCTTGAAAATAAAACATTTTAAAAATAATTTACAGTAAAACAGACAGGGCGTGACCAAGTCATAACTACTTACTTGAAGCTTTTGGATACTCATTATTGGTAGCCGTCATAATAACCACCTAATTTATTTATTATCTTTTAAAATAAGTGATGTAAACTATGAATGATTCTCTTCTAATAAGATAAATAGAAAGAAAACAAGCGGTTTAATTGTTAGCAAGTTTGACATCCATGACGTTTTATTGACCGTTTAAAAGTGACGTTCTTGTAAAAGCACATCACCAGCAGAGTAAAAATGAAATTACACTATGATCATCATAGCTCGGTCAAACCAAATCATTTATTTTGCGAATATGTGTACATAATAAAGGTGTAAAGTACATAATATATTATGTCAAACCATAATGGGGCCACAGTCATGCAAAATATTTGTTCTTTCTCCTAACTTGAAAAACAATAAATCGTAGACATTTTATATAAATTAACAAACAGTAACAAAAATACGCATTGTATTAACATCATAATAATATTTTTTATTAGGAAGTCTTGATTTTCTTTGGACTAAAGGAATGCTTTGAATTGTAATAATTTATGTCGGAAGATTTTTTTACAATTTAGGTGGCATACAAAATACACTTTTTTTTTTAAAGTTGTTCTACTCGGTTGTACCTGAATTGTCGGACTATGTCTATTGCTGCAAAGCGTTTTATATGAATTTATATTTGCCTTGCCCCTAATACAATACTTAGAGTTAGCTTATTTTCTGGAAAATTATGATCTATGTAATCAAAGGCTTTTGTTAAGTCCATAAATAAAGCGCACACAGGGATTTTAGTGTATACACTTTTGATGATTACATAAAAAAAATGTAAATTGTCATTTTGATTAATTTATTTTTAGGGAATCCCATTTGTTTTTCAGCTATGTTTATTTTTTCCAAATAGTTATACAAATTTTCATAAATTATTTTTCTAGAACCTTAGAAAGTATTGGGATAAGTGCTATCGGTCGGTAGCAGGCCATGTTTCATTTACCCTCGTTCTTAAATAATGGTTTGATAATGGTATTTTTTTAATATAAAACGCTTTGCAGCAATAGACATAGTCAGACAATTCAGGTACAACCGAGTAGAACAACTTTTTTAAATAAAAGTGTATTTTGTATGCCACCTAAATTGTAAAATAATCAAGATACTGTGCAGTGTAATCAGATAAAGCTAACTCTAGTGTTTTACTTTTCACCTCTTAATAACTTATGTATGACGTGATCAATGCAAGTACTACTGCAGTGGGGCAGTGTATCGGAATCGACCCGAATAAAACCACACACTGCGCCTAAAATAGTATGGACCCGATACCAGCTTTTATTAAGATGTCTGGACCTTTCTTTTTTTAGTGATAGATGGCCACACCTTCACCCCCGGCCTGTACTTATACAGGATGGGAGTCATTCAGCGACCTCAGTACCTGGCTGGGAGATTTCTAAAAGCCTCTTCAGGTCCCGCTCCACCCTCTTCTTCTCGACAATAACTTGCTCGCAGAAGGAGGTGAAGACGCTCTCCTCCGAGGCTCCCTCCCTCCCTCAAGTCCCAGCCGCAGGATCCTTACGGTGCGCTTTACCGCACGCCGTCACGAGTGAATCGTCCATCATGCACGTGACGCATCAGCACACCGCACGACATTTCACACCAACCTACACCGGTCTTAGTTGGGTAGATGACGGTTCCGGACTCCTCGTAGCGCCTGTTTTGAAAAGCGTGGGCACCACCTTCATGGATAAACTCTCATTTAGGCCACACGCCCCACGAGGGCAAAACCTGTCCACTAAGACCACACTCAGGGAAGCAAGAGGCGCTGGAAGGCACGCCAACTATGGAACGTGTAACGGCTGGTAGTGAGAAATACTCGCCGATGACTGCAATGAGCGCCCGACGCTACTTTGGCCAGTGTGTGTTCAAACTGGTTGGTGCTGGTGGTGATGTGGTTCGACTGCTGGTACCTCCATAAGCAGACGTGCCCAAAAAAGGCCTGTGTCAGTTGGAAGGAAACGGTCTCGTGCTGCTACCCTGCCCTCTGGACGATGAGCTTTCCGCCCACACTGTTACACCGTATAGTGCCATTGAATGGTCAACCCTGGTCTATTACTACAACTGATAGTGTAATCTCCACCACAGCTGCAGTTGTAGCAACTGCATTTTTGTGTACACTACACTATCTTCGTGAAAGCAAAGTAGTGGTAATTACGTAATAATTACGAATCCTAAATGTCAACCACAAGCATCTCTATAGAATTAAGGAATTCTTCGTATTGTCTAATTATGTGCATACGTCCTGACAGAGTTCTTTTTATGATAAGTATATTTTTTACCCTCGCGCCTCTTTTACGTGCCGTACGTGCCTACTTTTTTTTACGTGTGGAAACCCCCTCGGGCCGTCACCCCACCGGGGTTTGTGGCTGGTAGGTGTGTCGCAATCGTAACGACTAAAACCACACGGTGTGCCACTCTGCGCCTGTAACAGGAGAGATCCAGGAACTGCTATTTTTAAGACATCTGGACCCTCCTAACGCCTGCCCGCATGGCGCGGGCACCACCTTCGGGCACATTCTCCATTTAGGCGACGTCCGGCACAAGTGGACATCCTCTCCTCGCGGCTGGCAGTTATGGCGGGTAGAGGGGAAAACCCGTCCCGTCCACCGGCGGCATGAGGCGGTGGTAAGCGCGCCTCTGCCGCCCGGTTCGCGGGCGGCAGAGGCGGGCGATTAGGTCCGAGTGGAGGTTTTCCTTCCAGGCCCTCTCCGCCGCCTCTTTCTGGGAGATGACGTCTTCGCAGAAGGATGCGGTCAAACATTTGTCACTGCCGGCCAAGGAGCGTATGACGGCCGGTCAAATTGCCGGCCGGAAGCCGGGCAAATTGCCAGCGTGTGCTGATCCGAGTCCTCACTACAATCGCAGTGGCAGGCGGGACTCAATTCCCTCCTAGCGACTGAGTGCAGGTACTTCGGAGAAGGATGCGACCGCGGTGAAACATCTGTCACTACCGACTATGGAGCGTATGAAGGCCGGTAACGAGAGATCCCCCCTGATGACTGCAATGAGGACCCGGCGCTGCGGCGCCCAAGCCGGGCAAATTGCCAGAGTGTGCTGAGCCAAGCCCTCACTGCAATTGCAGGGGTGACAGGCGGGACTCAATTCCCTCCTAGCGACCGAGTGCAGGTATTTCCCAAAGCAGCCGTGTCCAGAAAAGACCTGCGTCAGCCGGAAGAAAAGGGTCCCGTGCTGCCGCCCTGCCCACCCGACGATGACCGGCAGCCGGGACGACTCAAGTATCTTTTCGGATGGGGGCCGCATGCCACTATCCCCCCGGCACTCGCCATCCAGCGATATACTTCGGCGAGCACTTCCGCCTCCTAATCCCACCGGGGTGTTCCGGCCAACGCCCACGCCGCCTCCGTCGACACGGTGCGGTAACCGCGTATGGCTCTAACCGCCAATATCCTCTGAGGGCGCTAGAGGCGTGCCCTATTCCTGGCGGTACCATTGACTTGACCACCCCCGTTGTTTTGTTTTTGTTATTTTAATTTTACGGTAGTAACACGCGCAATTTCTTATAGCTGTTCTAACAATTTTCAACTTCAGTAGTTAGGGTAATTAAATTACCGGTGTTACTACTACTCTGATTGATAGTAACACAGGCAATAAAGGCGTCCGAAATATTTTTTCGATTTCCTCCCCTTAAGCTTTTCCTACCTCTGAAAGTGGAAACATATAACTTTTATTAATCCTATTTTCTAATTTCTCAAATGCAATAAAATAAAAACCCAAAGTTCCAAAGCACTACACTCAAATATGGTTGGTATATTATGTTTCGAAATTTCATCTAAAACTTTTAAACCTATCTATACTAATATTATAAAGCTGAAGAGTTTGTTTGTTTGTTTGTTTGAACGCGCTAATCTCAGGAACTACTGGTCCGATTTGAAAAATTCTTTCAGTGTTAGATAGCCCATTTATCGAGGAAGGCTATAGGCTATATATCATCACGCTAAGACCAATAGGAGCGGACCACCAATGAAGAATGTTTTAAAAACGGGGAAAATTTATTACTATTGAGAGACGCAGACGAAGTTGCGCGGGTCAGCTAGTCAGTTATAAATTCAATAGGTAAAAGTAATAAGTAATTAATTAAGCAGTTTACTTGGGAAACATTACGCTTTCACAAATAAACTGCTTCATCATCATCGTCGACAGCCTTTCATAGTCCACTGCCACTGCATATAGGCCTCTCCTGAGTAAGGAGGTTTTGGCCTACCATACAGCGATGCCCAGACGGGTTGGTATACGGTTTGTTTCAAGTTTTCCTTCTCTTTGAAGTGCTGTTGTCCTGCGTCGTTTGCTCCCTCAGTCACCAATAGAAAGTGATTCAAGAGGAAGGTTGGCCCGTCCCAGGTAGCAGCGGCCAGCAGGTGCGGAGCGGGCCTATAAATATTGCATATATAGATGTCCTGTAGTATAGTCTTAAGTCTTATCATAATAATACCTAGTATATATAATTACTCCACAAAATAAAAATACTCTTCATAGTTACATTTTACGGAAAAGGTTATTGAAATCGTGTGAGCTATACCAATACAAAGTTGTTTTGGCTTGAAAAGTAAGAACGTCAAACGGTACTTCTTATTTTGGATGGACTGTAGGTATAAATAAAATACCAAATTATTCTTGTGTAAAATAAATGTATTCATAAAAGGCACTATAAATTTTATACATTTGTATATAATTCTAATATTACTTATAAATTACGGTTGCGCTTACTTACTAAAACATGTAGGTATAAGTTGGACGGCATAAATTAAGGTACATCGTTGTCTGTAAAAAACTAACATCGAAATACTAAAGTCCCTTCAGTTTCTAAATATAATGACAGCTAACAGAAGATTATCTAATAGATGTATTTATTGAACTAATAGTTAACAGAAAATTTTACCAAGAACTTCAGATACCAGGCACTAGTCCAATAATATTAGGGTTAAAATCTTTCAACTTTCGTAAAAGTGTATTCCATACATTGTACAGCTAAAACTGTTTATTAATTTCACATGCGTTTTGTCTGTGCGATAAATTTAAGATATATTAAAAAACACATTTGGTTAAACAAAATATTGGAGGCAAAGCTTCCAATATTTAAAAAATATAAAATAATACATAAAAACTATATATGACATAATCACACCATTCATTCCATTTATAGGTAGCTACGCTAAAACAACTTCAGTCATTTTTAATGATATGATTGCATTAGTTTTAGGTGCACTAGTATGGAATGTGCCAGTGTACTGTTATCAAACGATTTCAAAAATAAAACAGATTCAAATCTACGACCATTTTAACCGACTTCATAAAAAGTATATACTCAATTTAATCATTCTTTTTATTCAATAGGCTTTACTAGTCTCGTAAAAAAACCTTAGGTAACAAAATGGGTAAGGCAAGTTTCTAGTAATTCATGTCTCAGGTTGAAGTCGGTTGTACTTCTCATAAAACTTATTTTTTGCTTACATTATTTGGTAAACTCTCATAAAATGTTATTAAATCTAGTTAAAATAAATTAAACATGAGTTTAATTAAAATGCTTATTAAATACTGAGAAGTTTGAAACCGTTAAGGGGATGGATTAAAAGTATTTAAGATTTATAATTACTGGAAAAATTAACTCATATTCTTGAACTAACTACTAAACCTCTACATGCCTGTGGACTTTCACCCTTCTTGAAAGACTTATATTGTTTTCAAATGCAGTTTATAGGCAAATTCAACAACTTTGAATAATGGGTCCCACTCTGACTACTAATAACTTTTCAGGTGCATTTTTGCTCCAATAATATGGTAGAAATAATACACTTCAAATATCAGTAATCGAAGTTCGGGAATCACGTTTACAATCAATTACAGCCATATCTTTAGTCGATAGATTTAGAAGGATCGGCGTGAACGGGGTAAGACTAAGTGGGTGAATTAACATTTTATTTTGTAATGCTGGCACAAAAGCTGCCAAAAAATAGTAATATGATATCATTTACTAGTTTTTTTTTTGTGTTCCATAAATATTCTATTCTGCCAACAAACAAATATTACTAATAGTGATGTTCCATTTCGAGCTAGTAGACAACACAATAGCAATATTTCAAAATTATATATCATACATAATTTGGTTGTCTTCAATTAAAATATTTTTATTTAATAAAAGGTTGATTCCTTCATTCATCAAATTAGTAAATACTCTATATACTTAGCCTACTTTTTATATTATCCTATTGTTACGCTTTTGATTCGTATTCCATTTCAAAACGAGCTTGAGATTCTTTAAACTTAGTAAGTTTCTTCTGTTGAATATCGCCTTCCGTCAAAAATAAGGAGGCGGTGACAAGGCAAGCGACAGCACCCACTACACCTAGACCAAAAGACCAACCTAAAAAATAAAAAAAAAACATTTTAACAATCCTATCAGTATTAACACATTAATAGACGAATACGGCAAGACAGTATCTTCCCATGATAGAGTAAAGCCACGTGAATACACGTTACGAGTGGGCTCGGACCGAGTGCGCTCGGATGATTTATCGGACGCTATTTGTATTATTTTTTTATGTTATAAAGGGGCAAACGAGCAGACGGGTCACCTGATGGCAAGCAACCACCGCCACCCGAGTGTACTCGGGCGTCGTATATTGATCCGAGTGTACTCGGACGCGGTTCTATTTTTTCGAGTACACTCGGATGATTTTATGTGAACAAAATGACGACAAGAAAAAAAAAGTTGAGTGAACGTAACACAGAGGTTTAAGGACCTTTATGAAGAGGAGGAAGTGTTGATGAATGTAAGGCTAAATGGATATAAAAACAAAGACGCCCGAAATGCTACAATACAACGCATAATTGATAATTTACATTTACCTGATACTGTACTTATAATACCAAGATGTGAACAACAAATTCAATAATATCCAGAATACGACTCGCAAGAATTATTAAAAATGAAAATCAAATCAGCAGCATCTCTTATTAAAAAAAAAACCATCATTGGTACGGTTTCAAAATGCAGATAAATTTCTTTCGAATGTAATCAAAAACGGAAACATTTTATGAAATATTTAGGGTTTATAACAGTTAAATAATATCAGTAGTTTATTTGTTATAGTTTTATATATAATAATGTTATACTAATATAAGAAAACACAGGTATTTCTGCTATTTTGCCACGTGAAGGGACATTCTCTCATGAAGTAGTGTTTGATCATTTAGCCTTTCGATTTAGCCATCTGAGGCTTTAGCCTAGTTTTTGTGTTAACAATTTAAATCCATACATCTTTACATACCTAGTATAAAATGAAGTCGCTAAAAACTCCACACTGATGATAACAAACAGAAAATTAGTACAATAACTAAATAAAATCAATTCAATATTATTTCATCAATACATTCAATTAATAAATTAACCGATCTTATTATAAAAGTTGACAATAGTACTGTAAATTCCCAAGATTATCGCTATAAATATCTACTATGTCACTGCAGCCGTCGATTTACTTTGCGAAGTCTAGGAACTGGAGAGTTAGAACCCAAAACTGTTCTACGTAAGGGTAACGTAAGAGTGTTTCTAGGATATCTAGATGGAGCCTGAAATCTATTCAAATTAAGCAAGCGAGGGCAACTAATTTGATTACGCAGAAGTTTAAATCCAAACAATGCATCCGCAATCATCCTCCGCAGCGACAGTGGTTGCATCTTGAAGTATTGCAGACGTGAGTTGTACGACGGCAGCTGCTTTGTTTTCCCCTCGCAGAATGCAAGGTACCAAATAAATCCTAACATTCTAGACGCTTTCTTAGTTATGTTATCTAGTTGTGGCAAGAAGGTAGCTTAAACACAACCAGGTCCCTGGTTGTTTCCACTTCTTGAATTTTTATATCATCAACCAGGTATTCCGATGAACTATCGTTAACCTTCCTTTTCTTTATAAGTCTATTTTTTTCTTTTAATGCTCTAATTAGTGATTTAATAAACCAGATTGGGTATCGGTTATTTAATAGTTTACAATTAGGTGCATACTTATCAAAAGCTATTCTCACAACATTATAAAATATTTTCAACATTTCATTTACATCACTTTAGTTTGCGAAGAGTAGTGTACCAGTCCTGTGCGTTTAAAAATTCGTTTCTATTTGTAGTTCAATTCTTTAGCTTTGATCCTATAAGCTGCGTGGAGGGCTTTGTTAGATGGTGAGAGATGTTCCACTACATAAATGGGTGTCTTGTTACCGTTAAATCCAAGGTGAATGCTGTTTAATTTATGACATGTCTATGAATGACATCGACGCTACTATATCTTGTATTTCTGTTTTAGCAGGTTCCAATTCTTTACTAATTGTACTTACAATTATTTTGCTAAATTGCGATAGCATATCACTAAACTCAGCATTGATTATATATTATATTTAATAGTCAAACGAATCACGTCTATATCGCATGGAGTTGAAGGCGGCGACGGAGAGGCGACAGCTGGTCTTTTATTGCCTCTATTTAAAGACACGTTACGGTTTGGAGTTGAGTCCTTCCCAGACATTATAGTAACACAATTTAGAAACCGATTGACCAAAGCTGGTTGCAGATGTGACCACCAGACCTTGCACCTACCGACTATTACTTTTTCCAAAATTTAGACAACTTTTTAGTGGGTAAAAAATTCAATTCCCGAGAGGCAGTACAAAATGCCTTTGAAGAGTTTGTTGCCTCCCGTCCAGCTGATTTTTACAAGAAGAGCATCAATAAACTGCCAATGCGTTGGCAAAGATGCGTCGATTGCATGGGTGATTACTTCCAATAACAGAAATAAAAAAGTTTGAAAAAGTAAGTACTTTCACTTATTGCATACAAAACGGCAATTTCATAGGTAAAGACCTAATATCTACAAATAGGGCCATTGTTTTAAGTTAGTTTATAGTCTACCTTACAGATTTATTTCTAGTAATATCCTTAGGGTTATTGGAAGGTTAGTCTGCCATGTATATCACATATATAATAAAACTATAATATATATTGTTTACCTAAATAATTATTTGGATGATCCGGCATCCAACCATCTGTATTTCCTAAACTTGCAAAGACTATTACGGCTATCACTCCACAGATGCCTGTAAACAAAGAAATACCCATAAATAAATTAGAAATAACACATGTAGGGTTTTGAGTAAGAAGTATTTTTATGTACAATAAATACATGGTGTCCAGAATATATGTTGCATTGTCATGGTATGGAAGCTATGTACGCAAACAATGTTAGAAAAAAAATGTAAAAAATTCTCACAATAATTATGATAACAATTTATGATCTCATAACCATTAAATAAATTATAAAATATATAACCAGTTATAAAAATATCTATAATATATACCTATATGATAATGATGTACTTATTATCCGTACTTTTATTATTATTATAAACTAGCTATTGTTCCCGGTTCCGAGTTAATGTCGGTTATCACGGTAAAAAGTAGCCGTTGTCTTTCCTCAACAATCAAAGTATGTCCATACCAAATTTCATGTAAATTGGTTCAGCGGTTATTGTTTCCCCATACAAATTTCCACCCCCTTGCCTGGGACTCTGACTAACTCTATACTAAAGAACAATGGCAGAAACATATTTACCTAAAACTTAAAATTGACTCACATTAAACGTAGTAAATATTTTAGTAGACTAAAGCTTTTCGCCATCACGTATCGACTAGGGATGCGTGATGGCATTATTATTTTACGGAATGTTTTATCGATAATAGATTTTTATAACTTTAGCTGAAATATCTACCCAAGGTTGATCTTTTATGATTATTAATTTGCTTCTGCCCACGGGTTCACTCGTATCATGTTTTATTTTTGTTCAATTTAGTGTTAAACTCGCATAGATGTTTTTCAATTTTTAATTTCATATAGTGTTACTCTATTATGCATTATGTGAAGCCTTAATTAGTATTATTAATTTATTTTTTATTTATTGATTTATTTACAGCTAGTATTACATCTGCTTAGTAAGCGAAGACTTTTTATATTGTTTTACCAATACATTCCAAGCAAATAACCTTCACCCTTTTAGGGAGTCGGCTAACACTTTCTACAGCAAAAAAGGTTTTTTCTTATGAGTAATGATAATAATATTTTCGGATATATGACACACAACGCCATCTAGTTTCAAACAAAACATTGACAATATGTTAGTACTTTACCTCGAAACATTCAAATTCCAATATATTTTTTTCTAGACTTCTTCCGCTAGTAATTTTGTTATGAGAATAGTCAAGAATAAATTCTCAAGTATTTTGGGCATTTTTGATATTTAAACGCTACCATTTTAGTTCAAATAAATTATGTATTGGGACCATTGTCCTTTCATCATTTCATATAAATTGGTTAAGCGGTTTAAGCGTGAACCCGTGACGCAATTTCGTATTTATACTATAAGTATGGATGTGATAGTGAGTTTGTTTATTTTTTACGGTTTCACACCTAAACCCCTTAACCGATTTTAAAAATTCTTTCACCAACGGGCTACTTTTTACCGCGATAACTGACATACACGCAGGAGGAGCCGCAGGCAAAAGCTTAGATTAATTGAACTAAAAGTAAGTCATGAATGTATGTTAAAACTAGGGGTGGTATAATATCACAATCGCCTGTGATAAATCATAGGAATTATAAACCATATAATCACGCATGTGACAAACTTGCAAGAGCAATCATTTCAACATATGATTATGATTTAAACGTTGCAATAATATCCATGTCTAGTTAAAACCATAAATATGTTCATAGTTTGAGCAATATGTAGTGACACTGGTTACTTACCTGCAGTTAACATAGTATATCCAATACTTTTGATTAATGTCACAAATCTGTTCTGGTCAGGACTACAGCAAGTGAAGAACATCAATACTAATATGGTTGATATCAGTACCCCAAGCAGACACAAAGTGAAAAAAAATTGTGTAGCAATCATAAAACCTGGAAAACAAAAGTGTATAGAGAGAAAAGTTATAAAACACATAGATGAATTACAGAAATATTAAAGCCTGACGTTTACAGAAATTAAAAAAAAAAACGAAAATGAAATGTGTGTCACATGTAGCCCAGATACCGTACTGCCTGTTTTAAACATTTTTCTAAAGATTTTGTATTTTATACGAAATTTTCTAAAATAAGTTAGGCATTCCAACTAACAGAATTCACTTAGAAGTGATATATTTGCAACCGTCACGATTTTTATTTTATTTTTTTAGCTATTTTCAGTTTAATTTATTTCACAAAAGAATCTCTAAATCGACAAATGGGCTTTACATCGACGCAAATTGAAATTAAAAGAGGAGAGAGAGAGAGAGAGCATCCATTAAAAAAAAACCGGTTAGGTACGAGTCGAACTCGTGCGCCGAGGGTTCCGTACCTATCCAGATTTTACGTAGATATTCGCGAAAATTTGTAAGTACCCAAATTTATGTTAATTTTCAACTTTTTTTATTTTTTGGAATTATTTCTCTATTTGTGCTGTAAGGCGTTTCTTTTTGCCAAATTTCGTGATGCTAGGTCAACGGGATCTACCATATAGGTTTTCGACCCAAAACCTATAGGGTACTTCCGGTTGACCTAGAATTGTCAATTTTGGTTAAAAGCAAAGTCTTACAGTACAAGTAAAGAGAAAATTATGAAAAATAAAAAAAGTGGAAAATTAAGGTAAATGTTGATACTTACAAGTTTTCGCGAATATTTTTGCCCATATCTTTTTATCGTGTTGACTCAGGACCTTGATTTTTATACACCTAATAGGGACAATAGACCTCAGTATCTGGTATAAATTTCAACTTGCTAGGTCTACCTGTTCCTGAGAAAATCGGTGGTGACACACGGACAGACGGACAAGAAAGTGACCTTATAAGGGTTCCTTTTTTACCTTTTGAGGTACGGAACCCTAAAAAACCTATTTATTATATTTTACTCATTAAAATACATATTTCGAAATAGGGAATTTACCCTTAAAGTACACAAATAAAACAATTGTCGGACACACACAAAGTTATTACTAAAAAAGTGGTCTCATGTCAAGATTGAGCTGTGGGCTCACTTTTAATCAAATGTATGGCTGATTTAAATTAGTATAACTTCACAAATTCCATTAGTATAATTGAAAATAAAATGTTAAATATAAAAGGCTTAAAAGAGTACCACCAAACTTATAATTGCAGTAAAAAACACACATGCAGTAAGATTCGCGAGCTGTATTTCATTATAATTATGAGAAACAATCTTTTGTATTCTTGTAGTACAATTACAACATGTTAATTATTTCTTCTTATAGAACGACCAAATCAGGATACTGATTACATACAAGGAAAAATGTTTATTGTAAGACGTAGTTACAATATAACAGTATATTGTAAAATAAAATAACAGACCTGGTAGTAAATATCCACGTATTCTATCATACCCTGTTGTGAAAGGGTCGTACACCCAACGGCATCCAACAAAGAACCGCCTCTGGTACTGATCGAGAGGATCAGGGAGTGATCTGAAGCAATGGCTCCATAATCCCAATCTTAAACACAATTTGTTAATTTAATATGGTTTGACAAGATTTACAAATAAAAAATGTACACATTTTTACACTTACAAATTTTTAAAAGCGGCACTAATGAAGAAAGCTTTGAGAAGTGATCATTTGAAAAGGCATATATATAGGTTGGACATTTATGAAAAAATAAATTATAAATAGAATAAAATTATGGCCTTATATTGAAGATACAACTGGACTTAGATCAAGTCTAATCAAATAAGAGATTGAACCCGGAACTGATCTATTCTCGTTCTAAGCATCACGGAAGCACTTACAAGTTATGTGTTATTTATTAATTTAATTTTACTCTAGTAAAAGATTTGACACTTGCGTGTATTAACATATCGAAATATAAGAAAAGGTTTCAAAAGAATTTTAAGTTGCAAGTTCTTTCTTATATTACTGTTGAAAAATAGCAAAGCAAACTTAAAGCATTTCCGAGACTATACTATAATTACCTATCCAATTTAGCGCCTCTTATTCTGGAGTCGCTGACCAACCAGCTAGGCGTACCGAATGCCAATGCCACCGTAACAAGGGCAATGACAAACACGCCAATGCCACAGTTGCCGGCCAAAGTTCTATTCTTCATTGTCTCTGTAACAAAAAAATCAACAAATGTATATGATGGTCGCAGAGACAGAAAATATTTTATAATCTTGTCCCTTCACATGAATGATATTTTCATACAAAAACAGATCCATTAATCATAGCTTGAGACTACGCAATTCTTATTAATTAATACGGTTTACATTACTGACGGTACTGACTCATGTGCTTTCAAGATTTTAAGGCCAAGCAGAATATAACAAAGACAAAGGATATAACTTTATGTCAGAGGCCGATCCAACTTTTATCTCCGGGACAGGGGATCTTTTTTGTATGGGCAGGAGTTACCAAAAACTTCGATTTGATTACCTACTTGAAAACGTACTATTTACACTCAGTTCATCGGGAGTCACGGGAGTCCACAGTCCCCAGACTGTTCCAGGTCTGACTGATTCACCCTTGTTTCAGGTAAAGAAAATGTAACGATTTTTTAAAATTCGTGATATTTCAGACAGCCTTAATATGCACCGTGTGGCAATCCCCTAGGGCCGTCACCCCACCAGGGTGGTGTCGAAATCGCACCAACCACGGAAAAACACACTTTGTGCCACTCCGCCACTTGTGCCTGAGATAAAAGCGATCCGGGAACTGCTGTTATTAAGACATCCGGACCCCTTAATATAATAAATAGCCTAGCCTTAATATTATAAACAACCTTTATACCATCTTGAAATCGATACTATGACTTTATTTGAGTGGACGGACAATAGATATATCGCAAAGATATTCTTGTATCATTTGATGATTAACGGGAACAAGATGAAATAAATAGTAATAAATTAACTATATACTTATTGGATCTTGGATGTATTGACCCGTAATTTGTAACTACCCTAATCAAAAACTAACTACTTCACAAGTTTTTTTTTTCTAATGTATTATATCTTGTACGTAATATTTTCAAGTCAATTTTTTAAATTTGAAGACTATTTCCTCTTAAACTAGCAGAGTTAATTTAGCTTCCATACGTTTCTAACTTTTCTTTCTATCGAGCAATAGTAGCCAACTTTTATAAATTGAGCTGCTGTTGCACTTTTACTAAAAGAATCAACTTAGCCGTAATAGTTTGCCTTCTAAGTTCGTAATGTTTTTTTTTACACCTCAAGGCAACAGTTTAGCTTGTAATGGGACACACTTGACACTATTGAAAATTAGCACTTCATAGTTTAATAAAAAACAGACTACTGAATTGAAATATAGTCTTCACATCCCTTAATGTTTTTGAAAACTTTACCAACGATAACGCATACTATGACTTAGTTGAGAATAAGAATTTCAAATTCAAATTACTTTAGAATTACTTTAGAAATTTTGTTGTTTCTACTTCGTGAAGTTTTTCGCCTTTATAAGATACGTTTATGTCTGTACTAGGGAATCTATTTTTAAAAGTTATTTAAAGTGTTTTGTTCAGATTATTTTTTAAGTTATTTAATGTCAACCATTTTATTACATTATTGAGAGTATTAAATACGTCAGACTCAAGAAGCGACTTGATTGATTCATACCCATATTACGTGTAGGTGAGTTTGCCTGCACAAAACATTTACCACTTTGTCTTTTCATTAATATATGTATGTACCCATTTTAAGCTACAGCTTTAACCTAACTAACAATCATTGTTTTGTTCAATCAATGATTATTTTTTCACAAGAAAATATCTACCGTACAGACGAAGACGCTTTTCATTATCATCCTGCGCTAACATCCTATTATTTTATTTTACTGACTGCACGGATGGCGTAGTGGTTTAAGCGGTCGCCACGCCGCTTACTACTACGCCGCCAAGTGTTGTGGGTCCGATCCCCACATGGGACGACACTTTGTGTGATCCGCGAATTGTTTTTCTGAGTCTGGGTGTTCTTTGTGTCCGTTTCATGTATGTTTGTAAAGTCGCCCGCGACACAGGATATATTCGCGATATATGCGTTTTCGATAAAAAAAAAACTAACTATGCAAATGCATGACAAATATTTAAAAGCTACTATTGTATTATAACTATTGTTTTATAACTTTAAACTTGGACGTAACTTTGTTAAAATACTTTTTTGATTAACAACGTCGTTTTTAGTACAAACGAAAAAGCTAACCATGGGGATTAATAACTTGGGACAACATGGTCTATGTTTACTGATTTGATTAATTAATTTCAATGTCAGAGCAATTTGTAATAACTTTAAAAATATAGGTATGTCACTTAACACCAAGAACAAGGTCAAGCACCTGAGATGAATAACAAACATTGCTACCTCCATGTAAGTTTCGTAACACAGTAAATGCGGGCTTTGTTAGTAATATCCAGCATAACATTCACCAACAGATACAATGACGAAAAGTTCACACGCGTTATTACTGTGAGAACTTTAAACCAGACAAGCGTATTTTCGTATTTTTATGTTTTATTTTTTAAGTCTATATAAATCATGATGAATAATTAATGAAACTTGAGGAAACTTTATGTCTAACTTACTTTTAAAGACTTCATAGATATTTTACACTGTCCCTCTGATTTTTATAGGGTACAGATAAAAATCAAAAGGGCGAAGGCTAAAGCATCAGCTGTCTTTGGATTCTGTGTTAGATGAGGTCTAAACTCCATTCTATTAAAATCAGATCAACCAAAAAATCTGAAGAACGATGACTGCTGATAACGAGAGCTGTTTCTTGAAATAGCATAGCATGTTTTACACATAATAAACAGGGTGACTAGAGAAAGGGTGCGAGGTCGGGAAATTTTGCAAAAATAACCATTTATATATTTTCTAGTTGCAATAGTGTGATATAAAAGGATTTCTAATAACTTTAACTACAGGCCAGTTAAAGTTATGTGGTTAGTCTATTTGTTAGCAATTGACTGCCAAGCAAAAGGTTGTGGGTTCCATACAAAACATAATTTGTCTGCAATATGTTTGTGTTTAGAAATACATGATATATTTATCAGTAATTTGGTTACCATAGTATATGCTCAGCCTAGTTTACGATCAGACAGTCATGTGTGAGATTAATCTAGTTATTAAATGAAATTATACCTATTATTACAAAAAATGTTTAAAAATAATTAGAACTACAGGACATTGTTGATAGTTTAGCATCAATATTACGTGTTCGGACCATTTGTGAATTAGATACAATACATGATACACCTAAGCACTTTAATTCAGGAAATGTAAAAGATTTCTATCTTCAACCATGGTTTCAATCATTAATTTATATTTTTTTCATTATTGAAAGGGTATACACATATTCAATAATAAAAAAAAATTTGAATCATGAATGAAAGCTTTTTTTAAACAAAGTACCATTTACCTCAATTAGTATGACATCTTCATACTCTGACATCATAGCAATTAAAATCTCTTTCTGCAAAAGTTTATACAAATAATTTAGGATAATATTTTAAAAAGATTAAGACAACCTTTTTATTTAAAATATTATTCATAACAACAACAATATATATATATTTTATTCATAAAATCCAATTAGAATATAGCATGGATAAGAATCGAACCCAGGACCTCCAGCTTAGCAGTCATAGTACTAACCACTAGACCAACAGGTACGACAATATGATTTTTCAATAGAAATTATAAATTTTCTATAAAAGACTACATTATTATTTTATTATAAAGTACTTCAAAATGAAAAACATGTTCTAGGGAAAACCTTCTATAAATCAGGTTGAGTCTTTAGATTCCCATAATTGAATAACTATCACTCAAATACAAAAGAAATTCAGAATGTTTTCTTTCTATTTTCTGCTTTAAGTGGCACATTACTAAATGCATAAATTCTTTGAATCTTTTTTGTGATATGTTTTTAAACATGCTTCATTGACTACTGGTTTTTAAACTGTCTAACCTTTTCCAATGACTGCACACCTATACTAGTAAATAATGTTATTTAATAAAAATTAGCCATGGACCATAGTTTCAACTTTCACGTTTTAAGAATTTATAAAAAAATAGAACAATACAAATATCATAAAAATATGAATCGGGTATAACAGGCCTCTAAGTTTTATACACAATTAACAAATAACTACTTAATTTAGAAAATGGTATTCGTATTACTATTAATGCCACTTATTAAAACCTAAACATTGTGACCAGTATTGTTAAATTTGAGTGTCGGAAAAATTAATTTAGTGAACAAAACTAAGAAAGTTGAAAGAATAGGCTTTTTATTAAATTACTATATGGTAGTTTTCAGTTATAACTTCACTAACAAAACTTATTTTAGAACCATCACAACGAAATGATAATTTATAATAACGTGTACTTACGATAAATATTTCAGCCTTTAGTCACTGTTATTATATATACACAAGAAAGCTTTGTTATTTTCGTTCTTCTTTGCTAACCATTCATTAGAGGTTGTGGGACCAGTAAAACAAAAATGTCGCACCAACCAAACAACGCCCATGAAAATCAGAACTCGAAAGTACTAGTACATAATAACAGACTTTGATTGAATGAAGATCGTGAAGTATTGTACGACTGACTGAGAAGTGTGAACCACAGATAATCTCAAATCAGTCTTGCTAGTAAGAACAAAAATTCATTCAACAAATCGATCCCATTTGAGTTTTTTTTGTAGTAATCTTATTACATCAAAGAATAATTGAAGTGTACTAATATGTAATTAAAATTCATTTTAATGCATTAAATCAAAAAGGTCATTTTTCGTCACAAGGCGCGGCCAGTTATTCGGCGTCATCACTAGTTTTCAAAGCATTTTGTAATGCAACCATGAAATTTGTCATGTCTTTATTTTTTATTATAAAGTTGGTTAAAAACAACAAAAAAAATATCTTATTAATTACATATCTACATGGAATAGTTAATCATGAGTTTTGTGTCCGAATCGTCACTGTTTCGGCAATCAGTATCATTACTTTTCTACAATTAATTAGTCTTTAACTAATGTATATTTTCTCCCTTTTTATAATTAAGCCTAAACCTACAGAGTTCATTATGACTACAAGTTTGGTAACTTTTAACCATTTAAACTTGAGAAAATCAACAATTCTTTTGTTCAAAAAGTAGGACAGTTACTATGTAGGAAAATATCGTAACTTAATGGAAATGTATTGCTGAGTTTACATTAATTAAGTTTTTCTTAAGTAGCTCTTGTTGTTTCCTTCTCTGAGTTTCATATCTTACAGGATCGTTTTTAGTTTGTCCCTATAACGTTTTGTTCCTATAAGTGAGATGAGTGCCACAATATTTAAAATTTGAAAATACACATAAACATGGTATTATTCTACATAATTTTTCAAAAATTCAGTAAAATTTCTCGACACTAGACTTAAATGGGGTAGTTTGCAGCGTTTGGTGAGGATGTCATGTCCACCCAAGTGAAAAATAAATCTAAACAGCACACTGTCACTTAGTTTTCCCGAGAAACAAACTACAATAACTCATCTCACCCGAGAATTAATGGGTTCATATATAAAGGTCATGATTGTACCGCAAACAAGCAAACTTATATAACTCTACAGTTTAAAACTCACATTATTATTTGTTTCTGTGTAGTCGGGTAAAGCACGATGTAGATAATTCTTTATACTGGTATTTTCGAAACGTCACGATTATTATTCCGCATATATTGTCACGTAACGATATGGACGTGACGACGGGCTACCTTCTGCATCATATCTTGATTTTTGATCGTTTTCAAGGACTAATTGTTGTTCAATTAGAATATTCTTACAAACAATTAAACAATTATTTGAATGAAGAAGAAGAGAAGAAATGCACTAACTATTGCGGAACAATACTTTTCGCTCACACCAAGTCGCAAAACCTGTCGTCACGCTTTTCGAAAACAAGTAAATGAATATTTGACATGATGGCAGCTTTCGTAGGCAGGTAATCTTATTATCTGCGGCCGCCCCTACCGTATGGTAAGGGGCAAGATGCACCCATAGGCTCCGCCGCTGACCCGGTGTCTTTAGCCAGAGCTGCTTGAGGGGGATCGTGTGCTCCCTGTTCCCATCGCGAGTGGTAGAGCATACTCCACCACAGATGACTACACCTCCGGCGCTTGAGGCGCCTAACGTGGATCACGATGACATGCCCGAGGTCTCTGGGGCGGGACTAAGGCTGGCGGTGCTACGGCTTAAAGCCAAGAACACCGCCCCGGGACCCGATGGCATTCCAGGCCGAGCGTGGGTCCTGGCCCTAGACGACGTGGCTCTCGAGCCCCGACTGAGAGGGCTCTTTAGCGCATGCCTCGAGCGGGGCCAGTTTCCGAAATTGTGGGCGTGAAATGTCATGCGATGTTCCCCAAGTTGGTTGGTTGGTGTTGTACTGGCGCGGCTGTTGCCTAACATGAGGGGACCCGATGACTCCTGCAGGAGACTACTCGGGGGTTGTGCGGTCCATGGCCCTTATGGGGCCCCAGTATGGGTGGGAGCCCCGAGGTCCAGCAACGTCGCGCTACTGCGAAGACCGCAGCGAGTGTTGGTCATCAGGGTCATAAGGGGGTCTCGCACAATCTCCTTTGAGGCGGCGAGTCTTCTGGCCGGAACTTCACTGTGGGACCTGGAGGCGAAAGCCCTTGCGGCTTTGTATCGGTGGCGCAACTTGTTGAAGTTATAGGATCTTTTATAATAGAAAATACACATGGAACTTTTCAATAATCTAATAATGTCAAAGTATTTTTACAAAGTGTCAGAAACAAAAACCTAGTAACCTGACAATAGAA